ACCGGCACACACAGGCACGCCCGCAACCGCGCAGGCACGCACGCGCGCAGGCACGCACGCGCGCAGGCACACACGCAAGCACGCCTGCAGGCACGCACGCGCGCAGGCACACACGCAAGCACGCGCACAGGCACACACGTATATATACGCGCGGGCGGCGGCGCGCGCTTGATTGAAGGCAATACACACATGCATGCTTAATGATAAACACTTGACAGCCACACCGTACCAGGAATTCTACCGCGCCGTGGAACCGGCTGCCGCTAGCGGCAGAGGCCGAGCGAGATTGGCAAGGCGCGGGACCGACCTGGACAATCGATTTCCAGGGCGACTTTTGCTTTTGGGGTCGCCCCCGATATCGTATTTTTGGGGGCTCTTTTTGGCATTTCGGGGGCGAAATCGCCCGCCGCCCCCGTGTATTTTTTCCCCTGTACCAGGGTACGTTCCGGTATACCGGACCGTACTCAGGGTACGTTCCGGCAGTAGCCTACTGTGGTACTATTTTTAACCACGTAAATAGATTGTAGTAGAGTCCGAAAAGTTTCCTTGTTTAACGGCCTGCAGGGAACCAGTCTCATTAAAAATTAATAAGAAAAGATATGAATTAACCTAGATACAATAATGTAACCAAACAAGAGTAGTGTTTTTTCCAGTACACCTCAGCACGTTGGGTTACATTATTGTATCTAGAATTTACCCAAGCCCTCTGAGTCTCCGACACAATTTATAATGTGTGTATGATATATAGGCTACCAAATGTATATAGTTATAATTGGCAGATAATAATTACAGTTAATTAATTACAGTTAATTACAGTTAATAATAATTACAGTTAATAATTGACAGATGTAATTACGTGATGTATTCTCTTGCCTTTACCATCTCCAGTGTTTGACCATGAGGAGCGAAAGGTAAAGTTCTCGCATCCGGAAATAGAAGAACTAGGAGCTCTGTTTTCCAGCGAAAATGCGGACTTCAAGAACCACGAAGTGGTTTTCCTGCAACTCGGAATTAGAACGAACTGCCTTATGGGTGCCATTGTTTGGCAGTCGTGTAGGGGCCAAGCAGTAAGTACTGCCTTTTGTTTTTCTTTGAACAAGATCTGGCATTATTGGATATTCTAAGTTTGACCCGTAACCCCCGTTCCCGTTGGACAAGGCGTTTGCACGCTCTGCTGATTTATTAATGGCCAACATACGTCACATGTTGCTATGTTTAGCAATGCTTCTCTGGGAAACACGTACACATGCGGATCAGTGGGTTACGCAAGCGTCGCCCGCTGGAAATAACACGTACAACTCATGGCTCTCGCATATTGGCATCTAGGGGATGGACAACTGACAATAGGCATGATGTTGTTGTTGGCTTGTCTTTACAACCGTGGTCATAAGTAAGAACGCTGTCTATTTGTCACTTGTTTATTTAACAGTGACCACGGTTATCTGCAACTTTAGATAGAATTAGCATTCGTTCAGATACATGTACATTAATAATATCGTCTACATGTAAACGCAAGATCCCGTTCTTATAAATTCTTCGGATTTCTTCATGATTTCGGAATAACGAGATCGTGTTTCCAATGTCTGTGACGAATAATACATTGACAGCAACATATTTAATCTGTTATCTTGCCCATGTGCACTTGTCTACAAATACCTTGCAACGAGATGATATTCCGATGCAAAATGGTGGTGGTAAAAATTACCTGGTTTGATTTTCCAGCAAGGTGGGATCAAGTACTGGCACTACCCCACGATGGAAGCTTTCCTCAGGGATGGTTTAAGATTAGCAACTACTGTGGGGATTAAGGCTGCATTGGCTGGACTGTGGTACGCAGAATGAACGCATAGCGATAGTTATATAATCACATCTACATTATCATAATTATATTTTATACAGACTAGTTTTCACATTAATGTAACAGCAGATGACAGCACATTGCAGCAGGAACATATATGCATGTGTTAATGGTTGCAGTTATATCCAAAATTTTCTGAATTAAGTGGCTTATTATTATGCCCTTATTAAACGTAATCAAACGGCTTTAAATTGACTACATCACGAATTTTCTATGGTGTATATTTGTAAAAATTTTGTTGCAATTTGTTTACATGAAAAGTAAGTACTAACAGCACTAAATGTATCCTCAAATTCTTACCTGATAGGATTGTTTTTCAATTAGTTAAAAAGCCAAAAAAATCTGGGCGATTTGATATATTGATCACGACATTAAATGCTTGCTATGTGCTATGTATGAGTCACGAGTGTTTGTTCACATCGAATGGAATAGCAAAATAGGAAGTATATAATGCAGCAATTTAACCATAAAAGGTGAACAGAATCACTTACATTTTATAAAAAAGTGGACAGAATTGTGTTTACTTTTACTATTTACAGTGATGTAATCACTTTAAGAGAAGCAGTGGTTTGATTTCAGGGTTGGTGGTGCCAAAGGTCTCATAGCGAAACCTAGAGAGCCCAAGTTTAGCATGCCAGACTTCCGACAAGACCTCTTCTTTGACTACGGCGACTTTGTCACATCACTTAATGGATGTTTCGGTATGTTGACTGCATTTTATGTAATATTATTCATTGTATATTATATATATATATATATATATAATATAATATATGTGTGCACTGGGTTATATATAATATCGTTATATCGTATATAATAATATCGTATAACATCGTTATATATAATACAACGATGTATACTGGGTGATTCCTCCAATTTCTTGTGTTGGTAATCATCTTTCTTCACACTCACTGTATATATATATATATATATATATTATGATTTTGACTTAATTTATTATATAGGTGTATATAATATATATGTATATATATTATATTGTAATATACACGTGTGTGTGTTTACGTACATTAGAAACTGCAATACATGACAACATCGATGTTAGTTAGGTGAATCCTCCAGTCTCTCACATTCGTTATCCTCCTCAGATCAGATCAGATCAGATATGTTATCAGGAGTGAATAAAAAAGATTATTATAGCTGAATTATTATTATTCATTCCTGATGTTATGATCGTGGGTTCTCTCTCTCTCTCTCTCTCTCTCTCTCTCTCTCTCTCTCTCTCTCTCTCTCTC